ATTTGTTTGATGATCTGAAACATTTAAGTGTGACAAACATGCAAAAAAATAAGAAATCAGGAAGGGGGCAAACACTTTTTCACACAACTGTATCTCACTTTAATAGAAAGACAAGTGTCTGTATTGTTGACGGTATTGCAGATCCTTTGTAAATAGTGTGTTCCAACAGCTGAGCCTGTTCTTAACGGATGTGTAAATCTGTTGTTTGGAAACATCTGTAGCTTTCTCCAATCAAGAACAGTCAACTATACAGCAGGTCACTGTAGCATTACAGATTAGCATAACTTCTGTTATGCTAATCGTTAGCTTTGTCAGTTGGTTCAGTTAGCGAGACAACAGTTACAGTTAGTGGGTGTGAATGTTTAGTAACTTCTCTCTGTGTAAGAAGTAGTTTATAAGTGAAACCAGTTTTACTTTAGTGTTATGTAAAAGTCCACTGAGAGGACACTTGTATGTATGAAGAGCTGCTGTTTACACTCCCCAAAAATGGAGAAAAGAACTCCAATTCTCTCCTCATTGTAATGCATATGTTCATCCCAACAGCTCTGCTTCAGAATGAAGATGAGAGTGCTGATGACGACGATAGTGGCACAGACCATTTTAACACGGAGAAGTCCGGGACTCAGCTGCAGAGATGTGAGCGCCCGGGACGAGTGACTTCAAGTCTCCCAGACACCTTCCAGACCAGCCACCTGCTGTTCTACGAGCGGTTCAAAGCGTACCAGGACTACATGCTCGGTAACTACAGACATTCAGACTCGTAGGCAAAGTCCTAATGATCATTCTGAGTCATTACGTTCCTAATCTCAGTCCCTGTGTATTTGTACGTATTCGTGTGTAGGAGACTGTAAGCCGTCCGAGGTAAAGGCCTTCACAGCAGACTACCTGGAGAAGGTGGTGGAGCCCTGTGATTGGTTGGCTTTGTGGTCTATTGGTGTCTTTGATGTCCTGGTGGAGGTGAGACCAACTTTCAGACATATTTCTGTACATTTTGTAACTCTACCTTTTTATTTCCACCCCACTTGACCCTTCTGTCAATCTTGAGTCACAGCAGAGACTCGGGGGAACTTGTGTTTGTCTGTTTCTGAGGGTGTAACGGTGCACGATATTTTGTGACTAAAATATATATCGAGTCAATTAAATGATACCACCCAGATGATGTAGATGTAAGCAGCAGGGCACAATAGGCCTACTCTCAGATCTCTACTGACCTGTAGTGATTCAGTTTATTCCAGTGTGCTCCATCAAACTTTGTCAGTTGTTTGGCATTATTTTGGATGAACTATTTTACACAAAATATTAGCTGATAGAATTGCACTGATTTGCCTTTTTTCAGCATTGTAGAAATATGCTCAATATTCAGATTGAAAACTTGAAGGTGGTTATAAACTCTTGACATCAGGCCATTGATTTGACATGTGCAAGAAGTTACAGTTGCGCAGATGCCAAAATAAATCTGGACAAGAACAAGTTTGGTTGAACTTGTTTACGGTGAACAGCTGTTCATGATTTCAAATGTCGGTGCTGAAGAGCTTCTCCTGATTTCAGGTGTATGATCTGGACCTGAAGGATCTGAAGGCGTGTGTGAGGCTGGTGCTGCCTCTGCAGTGTGACACCAGAGGCTGTGAGCTCACCGAGGAGGCCATCGTGACTCTGCTGGAGGCCAATCAGCATCGACTCCCTCTGCAGGAGCTCCTGGTGGTCTACGAGCAGTCTGGGGACTTTGATCTGACCGCCCTCGCTCTCGAGCACCTCAGGTGGGACTCCTGAGTTGATCCTGTTCCTGGAGTTCACTTGTTGTGTGTCCACATTTTGTAGCAGTTTGATTAAGACTACTGGCCCATTGTCCTCTTCCTCACTTCCTCTTCAATCTGCAGGTTTTTCTACACGCATATCTGGAGGCAGTGGGAAGAGGAAGATGAAGATGATGACTTTGACTACTTTGTTCGTTGTGTGGAGCCTCGTCTCAGGCTGTGAGTACACTTTGTGTTTGAGTGATGTAGTATTTAAGTGTTGTTTCATTCCCATGAATCCTGCTTGAAAACATGTCTTCTCTCAGCTACTACGACATCTTAGAAGACCGAGTCCCATTAGGCCTGGTGGCAGAGTACAAGTCCTTACTGGAAAACTGCTCCCAGTGCTTCCAGAAGTTCTCTGTTCTGTGCAGAGGCCTCAGAACCAACTCCGACACGGAGCTGGACAACGTGTCCATGGTGGAGAGCCTGAAGCTCTACGACCAGCTGGAGACGTTCAAACGCAAGCTGCACATCATCGAGAACCCCCTGTTGAGGTGAGAGATGAGTTGAGAGACCATCGCCACTACTTCCTCTTTGTCTCTCTATCCAAACTTCCCTCAATCTCGTCATCGTCCTTACCTCCATCACCTCCTCCCCAGGTACGTGCTGGGCTACAAAGGTAATACCAGTCAGCAGTGTGTGCAGAGCCGTGGGCTCAGAGCTTCGGGTATGAAGGTGGTCCATGTGGTCACAGCCTCCTGCAGCACCATCCAGCTCCAGTCCCTCCTCAGTGACCGACTGCTGCCTCTGTGTTCCTCTGAGGACACTGAGATTCGGGTCAGTACCCCACACACACACACACACACACACTCACTGTATCCACTGGTAGGCTGCAGAGGTACTGACAAATGTTTAGATGAAATTTACAAAATATTTTTTGGGTGATGCACAAAGCTAGTCATTTCTACATCTAATTATGCTCAAGAATTTGCATGAATAAAACGCGTCAAATTAAAATGCATGATTTCAATGAGCAGTTCTGTTTGAATATGAACAGCCAATCACAACACATCGGGTAGAAGCCGGCGTGTTTAGCTAACGCTCCCTCGGATGCTGTGACACTAAACGGATTCTTTATTTAAATGAATGTGAGAGACGGCACCAGTAAGAGCTCCAATGTGTTTGCTGAGGAAACATCCTGAATACATTACATTTGGATCCATCATTTCAGCTGACCGTGGCATAACACATATTTACAGCCCAGTTCATTTCTTCCATTTATTTGGGAAAGTGTTCCTTGGAATTTATAAAGTTGTTGGAGTCAGTGCTGCCGGAGGAGAAGTTAGTCCTGAGCCCTGACGGTGTCCGGAAGCGCCGCCCTAAACTCTAGTGTGTGTGTGTGTGTGTGTGTGTGTGTGTGTGTGTGTGTGTGTGTGTAGTTCTACAGAGACCCAGTGTCAGCGGTGGAAAAGTGCCATCAGGGTGACGTGGTCATTGTTCTCCCAGGAATCTACAGTGTCAGCAGCTCCATCTTCCTACCAGACTCCATCGCTATAGAAGGTCAGCAGCGCTTTCCTCTGACATCATCAGACGGATGATCAGTTCTGAGACGGTAGTCTCAACAGGCACACTGCAGGGTTGTGTCCTTGGACATATTTCCTACAGTCATCTGTATACAATCCCCATGTTGTAAAATGTCTTCCCAGTCACATGGAGCCATAATGCAGGAACATATGGACTGCTGCCATAGATGCTTTTTTCAATTGATCATTACTAAAGAAATGAGCATGTGAAAGACACAGGCAGTCAATTATGTCCATAAAAACCTGCAGATAGTGTAGAACATATTTTACCCTGCCTTAAACAACAGTATAATACCCCGTCTTATGACAAATACATAAAGAATGACAGTGTTTTAATACTTAAGAGCTGTATTCATAAGTTGCGTCGAGTAAGTGTAGCGCTGTGTGTCAGAGGGAAATATGGCTCTTAATTTCTGAAGCCAAGAGTTATCAGATAGATAGATCTATCTATATAAAAAAAATATATATATATTTTTAAAAAAACAAAACACAGGGGCTCCTCGTTGATGTAAAAAAGCGGACACTCTCATACAGCCCTGCCTATGATCTACCTACTCTCATGGAGCGCAGAGCAATGTTTTGGTGAGCAGGTGTGTGTGAGGTGAGATTTATGAAGAAAAAGACGGCAAACTGGTTTGTAACTAAGGCTTAACGGGGCTCAGTGGGCGGACATGCCTCTACTCCAAAAAGATATCTAAATGCTCAGTAGGGCGCAGATTTAAGATGATTTTTATAACCTCTTGGATCTGATAGTAAGTTAAATCGCATTAATATCTGCATATGAAAAACCAATCATCGATCATCCCTTCAATCGTCTGTATACAAGCCTAATAGAAGGGAGGTTGGTTTTACTGCAGAGGACACCAGACTGATGAAGAAGTGCAGATGATCAGTTTCGCTTGTGATAAATACTCTGACATGTCTTGGTGTCACTGGGCATTGATGGTGTTTTCAGCCTCTTTGTGAATGTTAGCTGGCTGGCCTCACACCTTGAGGGACAAACAAAGGATTGAGAGCTGAATGGAGCTCTGTTAGAAGCTGACCAGAGTGCAGTGCAATCTAACAAACACACGTCTAGACCTTAATTCTGTACACTGATTGTGTTCATATGTCGTCTGTGTGTCAGGCTTCGGGCTCCCTGATGAGGTGGTTATTGAGAAGAAAAACAAGGGCGACTCATTTGTGGAGTCCACAGGAGCCGATGTCAGACTGTCCAACATCAAGTTCATCCAACACGATGCCATCGAGGGCATCATGTGTGAGTATACATGAATCCAGGCCCTCGGTCTCTGTGGTGGCTCCTCGTCATCGGCGACATCATTCCCATGTAGCTGTGTGACACGGTGTAAAGTAACACTCTCTCTCCTGGTGGCGTTCTGTCAGGTGTGCGTCAGGGGACTCTGAACATGGAGAACTGTGTGCTGCAGTGTGAGACCACAGGAGTGATCGTCCGAACATCAGCGCGCCTCACCATGAACATGTGTGACCTGTACGGCTCCAAGGTGAGAGCTTCTGGATGCTGACCACCGGCTCCACCTCACAGTCACTAGGCTCTCATCTGTGTGAACAGTATCATCTTCCACAACAAACTAGTTCCCCATATCAACCTCATAGGTGATGAGGTATCCGTGTTGTGTTCACAACTTCTTCCACTGGCCAAAGAAATCAGTTAGTGCAGCTTTAAACAATGTGACTGAGATAGTTTACAGTGTAAAACTAAAGCTTCTAAATGACCTCCAAGACGTTCAGTTATTGTCTAATATGCAGTGATAAACGATCAGCTGATATTGTCTACTTGTTGAATGGGACTGTGTGGTCATGTTGCTGTGTGTCGTGTGCAGGGGGCTGGTGTGGAGATTTACCCCGGGAGTGTTTGCAGTCTGGTTGGTAACGGTATCCATCACTGTAAGGACGGCATCCTCATCAAGGTGAGAACATTCAGTCTGTCTTCAGGGTTTGTACCAAAAACTCACCAAGAGACTGTGAGCATAAAAATTGCACTTGACTAAGTTTAGAAAATGTTTAGCTTAATGGAAATCAAGTGAATTACATGAACATTTCTGTAAAACCACTAGTGGTGTCGGCTGAAAACATCTGTCTCCTTTTAGTCCTGTTTCTAAGTGCAGTGCTGTCCTCCTGCTTTGTCATTACGTGTGTGTGTGTGTGTGTGTGTGTGTGTGTGTGTGTGTGTGTGTGTGCGCGCGCGCGTGCAGGACTTTGCTGATGAACTTGATGTGATGCCATCAATCACCATGGAGAACAACGTGATTCACAACAATGCAGGCTACGGGGTGATTCTAGTGAAGTCCAACAACGGGGAACAGCGTGATGCTGCTCTGGACCCAAGTGAAGGTGGGCGGAGCTCACTCGGTCAGAATAGAACAGCCACAGCACAGAATCAATATTGATCAGACCTTTTGTTCCCAGAAGGCCCTGCTGGACCGACGGCTGTAGACCAACAGCAGGGAGGCGTTGCTGATCCAACAAACCCAACCAGCAACGGTTCAGCAGACGTGCAGCCGGAGTCAGCAGAGAACAACAGCACGGACTGTGACGTAGCATCCGCCTCAGGCAGGAAGTTGCACTTTATTCGCCAGATAAGCAGAAACAAGGAGACGTCCTGCAGCCGAGCCGTCCAGGACCTGATGGACCACCAGATCTTCGTCTCCATTCAGGGAAACCAGTTCAGACGCAACGGCATGGGCGACCTCGGCACCTTTTTCTACTGACAGTCGACTCCAGACTGGCTGGCCGTCGACACACTCGCAACTGTCGCGCGTCTTTTAACATCGTTTATTTGAGGGGCGCTTTGTGCTTTTAGATTTCTTTTGTCATGAAATAAATATTGCCGATTCACAGCAGAGACGGCGATGATAATGTTCCTGTGTAGGACGTGTGTTGTGATGCCTGTGTGAGTCTCTGAAAGTCCTCCGGCTTTGACTGTGACTTGTACCGGTTTGAACTTTCACAAAAGCTTTTATCTTATTTATTCCTTTGGGCTCCTGATGTGAAATGTCTTTATTTTTTTTACTGCATTATTTGTTTGAAATCCACTCGTCACTTTGAGTTTTGATGTTTCCACTTCAGATCTAATAAATGTATCTTTAAGGTGGTGGTTTGAAAGCAGTGCACAGTTTGTAATTCTGAGTTCACACAAATATTAGTTTCCTTCGTTCATGAGATGTTCACATCTCATGAACCTCGTTCATGAGTGCCTCGGCTGTTTTTAAAGGTTAGATGTATTTTATGGTCAAGTCATCAGGTTGACTAATGATACAGTTGAGTCTTAAACTGTTACTTCAGTGAATATAATGAATGTCTTGCAGATTAAAAGGTATCTGTTGAAACCTCTGTGTGGTGCAGTATGACGACTCATTCTTTATGTGCAGTGTTTATAACTGGAGTGGACTGGAGTCATACATTTAACGATTTTAAACTTCAACGGCTCGCGTTTGACTTAATGTCCTCTGTGGTAATGTAACGTCATTCCTGGAGGTCCAGCAGCTGATACTTCTGCACCTCCTGTCAGACGGTAGCAGGGTGAACAGACTGTTGCTGGGTGGTTTTGTCTTTAATATCCTTTGAGCTCTTTGCAGGCTCCTCTTCTCGCCAATATCACTGATGCTCAGTAGATGGTACTGTAACCCTCTTAGTATCTGCAGGTATACTCAAATTATTTGTTGGACCAGGACCTAGGTTCACAGAGGGAGGTTTATAGCCAGTTTCCACTCTTCTGAAAGTGATGTACCAAAATCAAAACTCTGAGCAGGCTTTGAGTCTGTAGTCTGTTGCTGGGTGGAACAGTTAGCAGAGATTTTCTGATCATTTTCTTTCTTCTGTCATAGTATTTGGAATGACACAATCGGGAACAACTAGCTCTGCTATCACACAGTTGGTGGGCAATGTAATGTCCTTGTCTCATTTCTGAGTAACACAGGAACTTTGTAGGGACCATGCTTTGGCAGAGTGATAAGACAGTAATCTACAAAGACACCACCTGGCAAAGATGAGCAAGTAGGTTGTTCAAGTAAGACCCACTGTTCAGATTTTGCTTGGTCAGCATACACAAAACCCTCAAGCAGCACTTTTTGGTTGGCGGGAAGAACTTTCTGGGCTCGACCCTTGAGTTTTACTAGGCCAACTTTGCCACTATCAGCTTGTTTCTTCCTGATTTCAAGTGTTCTCAGAACCTGCTGGTAGCCATAGGGAAGAGATGTTCTGTGAGGCAAGGGGGTCTCACACTCTTGTTCATATAAAGGGTCCAGAGTGTTGGTGCCTATTAACAGTGGAACGTCACCATTTGAACGAAGATCTGGAACAATTAGCGCCAATGTGTGTATTTCAGGCTCAGTTTCAAATAAGACTTTTGGGAACTTTATACTGGTCTCCACATATCCCAGATATGGGACAGACTGGCCATTCGCTCCTTCAACTTCAAGAAGATCAGAGATTGGCTTAATGGTGTGTTCAGATAAGTGATCTTGGTAGAAAGCCATGGCTATGGTGGTGACTTCTGAGCCTGTATCGAGCAGACAACTACAGTTCACTCCCTCAACAGCTACTCTGGCCGTGCACTTCCTTCCAACAAGTCGACGGGGCAATTTGCGATTGTGGTGAACATCAGTCTTTAAGCTCAGAGCTTTCTTCGTCTTTGTAACGGTGGGACGTAGTTCATCCTTAGCTTCTGTTTGCCCCTCAACAGAAGCTGGAGCTAGTTTAAATCAGACGGATCAGTGGTGTTGTGATGGCTTTCCCACCCACGCTGCTTTTCTTTGAGTGATCTCCTCTGCCTCTACTAGCGCAGGGTTTGGGTCATTACTGCAACTGGAGGCAATGTGGCCATCCTCACCCCATCTAAAACAGTACCATGGTCTAGGTTTAGGCAACTTTACAGTTATTTGTTTGATTTCTTTTGTTTCTGGTCCATTGGTTCTTGGTTTCTGTTTTTTTGTTTTCTGTTGATGCCCTTTTGACAGGTTTCTCTGAGCTGCAGGCTTTGAGCTGTGCTATCTGAGAAGCAAGATCTGCAATCTGCTTCCTAAGATCATTAGTGGTGGCGGATGGAGCATCATCAGGATTGGGGAGGGGATCAGAAATATCTATGCCTTGCATATGTGTGGTCTCCAGATGTGAAAGGGCTCTTGTTTTGGTTATTCCTAAGTGCTGTTTCATTCTTGTTGCTTTATTTTCCTGCTTATCCTCTTCAGTACGCAGTAGAAGAAGGAGCTCGGCAAAAGATGGAGGATCATTCTTGCGTTGTTCAAGCTGGAGACTAGTTATCATTGGGCTATCCCAGCAGCCTCTGCAAAACTGTCGGAGAAGTTGTTTATCAGCATCTCTCGGAGCAATTCCCCCTCTCCTTATCACTGAACATAAAGCAGTGTGTAGCCTCTGCAGGTAATCTGAAGCTTTTTCTCCAACATTCTGGTTGGTGTTCAAAAAACGAGCAAAAAGCTCATCACCATCTTCAACGGTTGCATAGGCTGAATCAAGCAGTTTCAGGTAAACCTCAGATCTAGCCTTTGGACCCAGTGATTTCACTGTTAACTGCAGGGGATGAAAGGCTTTCAACAATTGTCCTCACAACCTGTGTGTCTGAAACTGGGATCATTCAAACAGAATTCCACACTGCTGCGCCATGTATCATAGTCAACTTCAAATGCAGGGTGAGGAGCTCTGCCTGAGAATGGCTTCAGTTTGTAAGACAGATTGGATTGAGATGCTGCCTCACTGTTCCTGACAATGTGCTCCACAATGACGCGCTGTACCTCAGGTGTGCTGAGTTGGTCAGCTGGCAATTGATGAGATTTAGGTTTTCCATCTCCATGTGGAGTAGTTTCTTTGACAGTTTCAATAGGCTGGGGTGCAATGCTAACTAAGCTTGGGTTTTCAAAAGTATGGAATGCAGGTGGTATATCTTGAGGGTCAGCTGGTTCAGGTTGTGAGAGATTTTCAGCCACTTTAACTTGGGCTTCCCCTCCCACTGACTCTCCTATCCGAGCCAACTCTTCTCTCAAAATATCTTCAAATGACCTGCCACCTTCCTGTGCTGAATCTCTCAGCTCAGTCAACACTAGCCTCACTACTGCATGCACTCGCTAGGCTTTGAATGTGGTGAATAACCTGCGGATTTCCAGTGCAAGCTCTGTCAAGTGGTAAGTGACGTCTCTATAGCTCTTTGACTGTAGCTTCATGTTGAAACTCAACAATAACCCTCACTTCTTTACCAGCGGAAGGCACCTAAACTAACCTTTCTACAGGCCCAAACTGTTTCAGGAAGTCAAAAAATTCATTGTCTACTGAAATGTGAGTTAACCCGCTCAATAAAACAGCGTTTGGAACCTTAACATTCTCTGATTTCACAACTTCCATTTTATCACCAGAAATATGTTAGAAGATTTGAAAATAATGTTAGATGCTTTACAGTAAATAAAACCTTCATTGCTCCAGTTACTCAAAAGGTGTCTATCTTCAATTTTCTGTGGCAAAAATGCTAATATCTTAACCTCTCCTGGCTGGCTCGCCAAGTTTTAGTCTGTAACCCTCTTAGTATCTGCAGAATACTCAAATTGTTTGTTGGACCAGGACCTAGGTTCATAGGGAGAGGTTTATAGCCAATAATAGACACACAAAGAACTGGAGCCACAGAATGCTTTGATTTCAAAGGTTATATTGAACCTTGTGAAGATAAAAATAAAATTGACATCTTATACAACATTTACAATGCTCTTCTCAATCAGATAACTCAGCACATATCCATTGAAATGTGTAAAAGTGTCTCTGAGATGCAATGTTCCTTCAGTTTGTTCCTTTCGCATTCAAGCTCCTTCCTTGTTTCCTTATTCAGTCAGTTCAACTATTCAACAGTCAGTTTCAGTTCCAAAGTCAAAAGAATAAGTCAAAGTAGTAAGATGTGTTCCTTTCTTAATCCTACCACACTGGTGCACTCAGGTGGTGAGAAATGAAGAACGCTTGTTTTCTCCTCAGCAACAAAGAAAATCTTGATCCTACTCCTCGAGGTAAGGAGATGATCAGTTCAGTGGTGGCTCGCCATCTTCCTCGTCAGGAAGAGTTCCATATCCAGTCTCAAAGGTATCCAGGGAACTTCAAAAACCTAGCCTGTATAAGACAAGGCAAGACGCTGCCACAAGTTGTAAACTCGTGGCACAAAGGTCTCTGAATCACCTCTCACGTTGCTGAGTGCAGTCTCACAAAGCGCTGTGTCTGACCGTTTAAACAGTTATCACTTGTAACGGCTGAACTACTTTATGAAACAGATAGTGCTCGTTCCCTCGCGCATTCTCTTACTCTGTAACGTCTAACGTCTTTCTGGTAGGGCGGGACTTATTTTCCTTTGCCCAATCGGGAGTCTGCATTCGCCGAAATAACCAATGAGAAGCGTATCTGGGTAAAACTGCTGTGATTGACACTTTGTTTAACAACAGAAATAAGGTTAAATTAAAATGAGATTAAAGATGTAAATTATCTGCTGTGTTACATCACAAATAGAAAAATGATCCTAAAAATAAAGATATTAGGGCTCAAATTCTCTACCTGGTTACAGTACCAATGATGTTCTGCTGTTAATCCCCCGCTGTGGAGCCTCCTGTCCTGAGCCGTGCACATCATGTCAGTTTGTAATGATTCCAGTCAGGATGCTTTCTATTGTTCTGCTGTAAAAGTTGACAGGAACTTTGAATGGGGAATTTTGCCTCCTTAAATTTCTTGACCAACGTGTGAAGACAGGTTCTCTGTGATGCTGGTTCCAGGAACCTACAAGCTCAGCTCCTCTAAGAACCCAATGATCAGCTCTTTGGTTTTGCTGATGTTTTCTGACCACCGCTCTGCAGGTTTGTTGATAACGTCCCAATTTGAATTCTCATCGTTTGTAATCTGGACAATGAGGGTGGTGTCATCAGCAAACTTCACAGCTGAGTTCTCCATGTCTATTGCAGTCGAGTGCTGAGTTTGCAAGTATCAGTTGAATGGGGGGGAGTGGAGACGGCCTCCTCTGTGGATCTGTTGGCTCTGTATGTAAACTGGTGAGGGTCCAGGCTGGCTGGGAAGCACGTGAGAACGCCACTGAGCGGTAGTCGTTCAGACTGGATACTGCAGTATTTTAGGTACAGGGGTTGGCCGGCACAACATGAACAATGAGGCTCCTGTCTTCCCAGCACCCCATGAACCACCAGCAGCAAGGAATATATATGAAATATTTGAATATATATGAAAGTTTCTTTAAGACTTGTAACTTCAGGGTGGGCTAGGAACAGAACACTAAAGAGAAGGAACTAAAGTTAGGCAATCTAAGCTTACCCACTCAAATGAGAAAACAAAAGACAAGTCACTGACCTAACTCCCAACTGAAAACAAACACCCCACTAAACCTGGGCTGTTTTATCAATGGATAGATTGGTGACATCACAGAAAATCCTTGCCGGTAGTGGAGAGGTTGGAACCAATCAGCTGCCTGCAACAACCTACACACTCAATCCTCAGCCGAGCTCACCTGCAGCCCGTCACACACAGAACCCAGAGCAGAGAGAAGAGATCAACACAAGCACTAATACATAGAGCAGTGTGCATACGACCTCAGGGTAACAAGGGAAGATGGCGGGAACTCTCCTGTGACAATATGTTAAAAATGCAGTGATGACATCAGTTAGCTGGTTGGCACATGTTCTTAGTACACTCATCATTTAGTAGAAGACATTTATATAGTGCTTTTATCTGTAGCACCTATTACTTATTCACACACACACACACACACACCAATGGCAGCGAGCTACCATGCAGGTGCTGGATGAATCGTCTTGCCGAAGGACACTTTGACATGTGGACTGGAGGACTGAAGGGCGACCTCTACCAGCTGAGCTGCAGTCTCCCTCTGAACTGTAAAACACCACCAATGTAACAACGTGGACATATCATCACCTTTAAGTTGATACTTGAGAGCAAACAGTTACTTATTTCTACTTCCAGCAGTTACAGGGCATCTCATTTATCTGGAGTGGTGTTTGTGCCCACCTGATGAACTCATCACATCTCCCAGAGGAGCTCACGTGAGACTGCAAACGTGTGACTCAGTTGGACTGGACAGTAAACGTCACCAGCTCTCCAGTTCAAAGTCTGTCTGAGATGTATCAATAGACACTCATGGTGCTCACACAGAGTGCTGCACAGATAACGTGTTTTTGCGGGCCAATCCGGATGTTACGTCACTCTGGTTCCCTCGAGCTGTGCGGCGTAGATACAATCGGCAGATGTGAGAAGTGAATGCTAGGCATGAGCGCCAGCAGCGAGGCTGTGATGGCGTGAGGACATGTAGTCTCATTTAACGTTTGTTACAACCGCCCTACTGAGGACACGTTAAAGCTCCATCGTTCACCGGAGGCTTTACTGACCTGTTTTCTATCGGAAAACAAAATCTCTTCAGCTTGTGTAAAAATAAAAATTCCCAGTTGACTTTATCTGCATCTGTTGGTGAGTTTGTATGAGATGTGTAATGGATTAAGTTAAATAGTCTCATTGCAGGTTGTTAGTCTCTTCCTTTAATGAAGCCAGTTGGTCTGAGTGGATGATGGATTGAGTAACTGTTTTGGGCTTCGCTAATGCTTTTTGTGTCTGTGTTGAGAGATAGAGGGCTTGATGGGGAGCTCGAGTCTTTATTGGGTTTTAGTAAGAGATGCGAGCAGTGTTCATGTCGATTGGAAGTTTGGATTTTTGTTTAATTTCAGCTGTTAATCTGTAGACAACTGGGACCGAGAACTCAAAGTGTTTATTGAACTCAGCAGGGAAGCCATCAGGTCCTGGTGATGTTTATTACTGTATTGAAAATGTTTGTGTCCGTGTAGGCCGAATTGAGTTTTCTCGTTTGTGTTTATTCAGTTGTAATTTGTATTTCCGTAGATCATTTGGACTCTGTTGGATTACATGCGTTGATGCTCTAGTTTAAGTATGTTTGCTGTCTTTTTCTTGTATACAGTGGTCATGTGGTGGCGCAAAACCAGAATAAACATCCGAGGGTGAAGAACGTCATTTACACCAAGACACCAGCAAAAAATGTCAAACTGGAGAGATGGAGAGATTCAGTGTCTTGTGTCGGTTAGGGCCGAATTCATCAGACAATTTCAATGAGGCTTGGTTGTTACAGACCGGCCACGTAAAGGTGTTGTCGACGGTTTAATGTTGTCCACTTTGTCCACCAGCTAGTCTCTAACTGTGTCGGTTTGTTGTTGAGTAAGTCGTGTACTGTGGCTGTTTTTACTGAGAGGGAACCAAAACAGTGAACTTGTGGGTCGGACAGATAAAGAGATGAGAGTCTAAGAACTGTGGAGCTGATCTGGAGTCAGGTGACCACTTCCACATTCCATGTTGCTGCAGTGGGTCGATGGCTGAGGACATGTGGCAGTTTGCTGGTTACTGTAGTGAAAGAAATGAAGGGGACCAATGTTGGCAGCACATTCTGCTATACCTGGTTGCACATGACATCGGCAGACTTTAACATTCATCTAGTAGAAATAGACTAACAATGAAGAGGAAATAATGTGTATATCATCTTTTATAAAAAGGCACAGCACATCATTTTCATTTATTCTTCATCCATTCAGAAGCAGAGAGAAAAAAAATAATTCTAGCTCCAGGAGTATCTGGAGGTCTGAATGAAGCCCAGAGCAGCAGAGCCACATGGAAGTCCTTCATATTTGAAGAGACATCCTGTAGTTTTCTGAAGCTGGAAACTACAAAACATCCAGTGACACTTGGACTGACGTTTGATTTCAGTTTGCAAAAACAGGCTTTGGCAGTTGAACAGATGGGCTGATTCATGACTCCTCATGTAAACCTCAGCTCACACTGACACCAGTGGAAAGAACGACTGCACATGTCAAATCCTAAATAATCAACTGTATTCCAAAACAAACAAACATGTCATTTCCTCTGATTGAATTACACAATCACTTTCAGACGTGCGTCTCTCCGTAACCAGTGTTCAGCTTTCTGTTAACAGGACACCAGTTCACTGCTGGCTGTGTTAACCACAATATATATTACACATAGGAAGAGTTCAGGCAGTTTATGAGTGCAACAATTATCTAATTCATTTCACATAAGGCAAGGTGTCGTATGTTTTTAAAGCAAAGCGGCCGAGTGCCATTTATCTACAGGTCATTATCAAAATATTGCTTCATCTGTCAAATAAAAATATTCTCAGTTGTCTCGCTGAGCGAGTGTTGAGCTCCATAGAAAATCTGGAGAGCGTCCTGTGAAATGATGAAGAGTAAGATAAAGTGTTGGAAATGTTGACAGGAAACGGTCTGCAGGTAAAAGTCTCATTGGTCGTCGTCGTCGTCCTGGTTGCCACTCAGGTGACTCTCCTGCACCTCCAGCTCCTCAGCGCTCACCATGGCAGGACTGATGGCAGCGTATCTGGTCCCGTGGAACTGACGCAAGTGAATCTGTGTGGGAAAGAAAACAAACAAGCAGCATCATAAAAAAACATCAATGCAAGTCCATAAACACCACACGTCACACACAGGAAACGTGACGAGACCAGCTGGTTCCTGAGAACTGGCCGGCCCTCCTGTCACTTCAATCCTGTCCAGAGCAACGTCCTGGTGTTCTGGAGTGGATCTCGGAGTTTTCTCCATCAGCATTGCATTGTGAAGAAACGAGCCGGCCAACCATCTGAAACTGCATCTCTTCACACGTCTGTGATAAGGAGGAGATGAGAGCAGACCTGTGGTTCTACTAAAGAACACTACACTGTGTTCAATAACACACATTTAGCTGCTGTGCGTTACACAGTCACACACTTCCACCTCCAACATGTGAGAGAACGACAGAGAGGAAACATATGGTGGTGCGGTGCTGCTTTTCAACTGTAGATACAAATAGAGCAAGATAGAGCTGGGCAATATATCTATATTATACTGATATTGTGATACGAGACTATTTTTATGACATTTTGGATATTGTAATGTTGTCTTTACCTGGTTTTAAAGGCTGCATTAAAGTAAAGTGATGTAATTTCTGAACTCGGCAGACTGTTCTAGCTGTTTCATTATTTGTCTTTACCCACTTAGTCATTATATCATTGTCTCTGATGATTATTTATCAGAAACATCCTTGTGTAAATATTTTGTGAAAGCACTTATGGTCAACCCTACAATATCGTCTCATTATCCACATCAAGGTATTTGGTCAAAAATATTGTGATATTTGATTTTCTCCATATTGTCCAGCCCTACAACAAGATGCACTATGTGTGACAATAAAGTGCCAGAGAGAATGCATCATCAATCAGGGATCACCAGGAGGGATCACCTGGAGGATCACCTGAGGGATCACCTGGAGGATCACCTGGAGGGATCACCTGAGGGATCACCTGGAGGGATCACCAGGAGGGATCACCTGGAGGGATCACCTGGAGGATCACCTGAGGGATCACCTGGAGGATCACCTGGAGGATCACCAGCAGTCATGGTTTCATGGTGAAGGATGAACCAGAGCCTACCTGTATGTAGAGGTTGACTTCAGCACTCCTGCACAGGTAAGGGAAGTTTCCTCCCGTCTTCAGATGAGCTCGTCTGGCATTGGGATACAGTTTATACATCTCCTCCTTCGCCTCCAGCGACAGAGCGCTCTGATCAAACACCTCAACACCATTCACAGAGGAAACATGTCTGTCAGGTTATTGGAGCAGAAATATATATGAATGGACTCCTGATAGAGAGAGACGCTTCTACTCTTACATCTATAATGGTCACAGCAACATCTTTTATCTTGTGCGGCTCCACGTAGGAGTTCTGACAGTTGAGTGTTAGCCGCGATGCTAACTCACTTTGGTTCAGACTCTCCAACTACAGCACACACAACACATGGAGGGCAGAGGTTAACATTCAAACACAAAGACCTCACATATCTGTACTTCAGGGAACAAAACAGATTAAAGGAAAAGTCAAACACTCATTTTATTTATTTCCAAGAGTGAGAGGAGAAGATGGATATCAATGTCTGCAGTTTAAGGCTACTTTCCATTTGTCTGAAATGTCATTTCATACTAATTTCTTCACTTGGGTCTTTTCCTCCCACTGAAGATGTGAGGAGAGAAGAAACGCCTTTTTAGAGAAACGAGACGTCCTTGTCAGTTTCTGAAGACAACGACACAGCAGGACCACATCCGGATCACAGTAGGGCTGAACAATTCGTTGAAATGTAATCAAACTAGCTAGGAAGAAGTGGGGGAAATCCTGTGGAGGCTGAGGACAGAAGAGAAAGACTTACTAAAACCTTCCAAATGTTCCATCGCACTGCTGTAGGTCCTCTTCTTCAAATAGGTACCTGGAGCCTGTGTTCAAGTCCATCAGCCACCTCCACACGCAGTCATAGAACTAGAAGTTCTAGTGCAGAACAAGGCTACCAGCCTCTGTCTAGTGTTCTCCAACATTTTCAGTGACTTTTTCACCCATTAAAAGAGCAGTGCTATACCTGCTGTGCATTCAAGGCAGGGGACATGGAAGCTGCCACATGGAGGCAGCACAGCATTTGACACAGAAGGACAACTTCACTATCTTTGACATCACGATACGTGATGCATGTTATGCTTCCGCAACAACACGGTCCCGTTAGCATCTGTATGAGAGCAGTGCAGCGGCAATGAGCTAGCCAATAGGACACAGAGCTTCCATCACATGATGGGTACCACATGAAGTAGTAGTCTATTGGTAACTAACATTCACACACTGCAGGAACAGCCTGCGGGAGCAATTTGGGGCTAGCCATGGACTAGTGGAGCCGGGGATCGAACCGAAGAACGACCCTGCTCTACCACTACAGTCCCTGAACAGGCTTTCATGCTTCTGGAAAAATGATTTTTGGATATACAGGTTTATCCATTTAGTCCACCTACCCTGTCAACCATGAAGTCAATTGCGTCTGCCATTTTAGGATCCACGGGCCCTTTAGCAAAGTTCGCCAGAACAATCTTCTTCAACATGAAAGCTGGCATCAACCAGAAACTGAGGAGGGACATGGAAAGAAAACATCAATAATGAATGTGAACACGGGGAGGAAAGTGTGCGATGGGAATGTTAGAAAGCACCTGTTTGAAGTCCACGTCTGATTAAAGATGGAGGTATCACTGAATGAGTTACACAGTATCAGTGAGTGCACTCTGGGAGACTTATGTGTGCACTCTGCAAACTTCTGAGCCAAGAATCCACCCAGAGATGCACCGAACAGATGGACCTGAAGGTTGTGACAGAGAGTCATCATTAGATGGAGAGCCGGAGTGTAGAACGGGTGATCGGGTAACATGCCTACACCTATAACAGGACCGCTCCTTTACTCTCCATGGCTAGCTTGTTTCTGCACAGTCAGCCTCTCTGCTGCTCATCAAAAAGATGCGGTTGAATCACGATCAGGCGATCATATATGAATTGCATACTCACGGATAAAGAAAATACTCTGAAGGTCTGAAGCTAAAGGAAAACCACAGACTTACTTTATCCAACTGCAGGTGATCGAGAAGCTTCCTGAAGCCGTCACAGAACTCCATGAGATCCCAGTACACCGGATACTGCAGCTGGAAACCACACAGACTAGACGTTTACATAATTGCAGACTCATCCTATAATTAGTGTGAGGCTGATATGTCAATGAATTAGTCGATTAATCAATTAGTCTAGTGACAGAAACTTAATCTGTTTCAATCCTGCCAAATATTCTCTGGTACAAGATAGACATGTTTCCCTGTTCCGAACATTTGATAAACAAAACACAGGAATAATAATAAGATGAACGGAGAAAATAATGAGCAGATGAATCAATAATGAATAGAACCATTGGTGGCAGAAATATGAAGCTGCAGTGTTTCCAGTGCCAGGCTCACCGAGATGACCCTGTAGCCCCATCCCGTCAGAGCCAACACCTGCTGGAAGAACACCTCAGCTGTCCCACTGACCGGTGGGAAGAGGATGATGGGACACCTGATGCTCTTTGGGCCGGCATCATACAGCGACCACACCTTACTGTCATCATCATCGACAATAATCTGGTGGAGACAAAAACACAAGGTGAGAAAAATACATCCGACAAACTAACCATGAGCCTTACGTTTCTTTACAAAGGAGTTCAACCAGGCTGTATAAAATATGGACCTATTTGACTTAAAGACTAAAGATGGAGACCATAGACTGAATACAAGGAGTTCTTTATTCTAGGATATAGACTGGGGAGGTCACAATATGACATGTTTACGATTATTGAGAGGAAATATCACGGTTTTACTGTTTTCAAGATTATCAAACTGAATATTCCTAATAGGCCTAATGAACTAAAAATATGTGTTATCATCATTAACTAACTATATACCTTACTTTGTTATTAATCATCTATAATGGTTATTTGCATAAAAACAATATTAATTTTTACTGAATGGAGCTTGAACGCACCACAATGTCGCCTCTACTCTGTCCTTAACAGCTGTTAGCTGTTAGCCGTTAGCTTTCCTCCTGCTCATTCAACACAGATGTGTTGTTCACGATGCAACGTCAGCATCCAATGCCGCTCTACAGAGCGCACATTTTTACTTAATCTAAGCCAATAACGATCGTCGGTAAAACTATTCTGCACACTATGATGGTTGAACTGTGTAATCAATCTGCGGTCACTTTCTATCCAACATGCTCCCACGCTGCCGATTTAAAGCCATTTTTAGTGGATATAAGGCTGGACTGTCGGTTCCCTGTGACGTTTTTACAGCGCTTCTTCTCAATGCTTCAGGTGAATGGCAGCCAGCGTCGGAAATACACGAGGGCAAAACTGCCCCTAAGAAATATAATTTTGCCCCTGATATCACTAGGAGAGGGGCAACAAATGCCCCCACAATTTCCTCTAATAATAGTGATAATTTAATAAACTTGTCAAAAACATCATAGCCTATATGACCCGGTCCAGTTGCCATAGAATGGTTTTGATTTTCGCCTTGACTGATGTTGCGTGTGCGTGAAGAACCGAACTTTCTAAACAAATAAATAAATGTGCGCTTCTTAATCAGACCTGAGACTGCGAGACTGCGGTCAACTCAGCAGACACTTACATGTTAGTGCACCTATTTGCTGAAATTCACGGTAAACTCATTCAAACGTCACAGATCGGGAGCGAGCGAAGGACTTTGAAAGTTAGCGGAAAGATTAACGTGAGACAACAAAAGGTTTCTTCAGACGAACATCCGGTTTTCAGGATAAGATGCCAACAAAGTATACATATTGCATAATGGAAATGAGATTAAATGAATTATATTCACATTAAGTATAAAACATGCTACCTGCATCTCGTGAGTTAAAGGGAAAATACACCTAAATTGTGCGTAAAGTGTCTTTATTCTTTGATTTGAGGGTTGCTGATGAATAATACCTGACTGACAGTCAATTAAGATATTTTACTAAGCAAAAACTCCGAACTGAATTTGTACCTTCAAATGGCACCTTTTTAAGGTGCTATAAAAATGTTTTCTTAAAAATTCCACACAATGACTAATGCATATGTTCAGGACAAAAATGGGTAATATCACAATATTTAAGGTGCTACAAAAATATCTTTCTCAATAATTCCATACAATAACTGATGTATATGTAATCAAGGCATCGTTGACTTAATAATTGTTAAAAAGTTTTATAATAACAATAAATAACCACAAAGAAATAAGAAAACACTTTGAATCTGTAGACTACTGCCTAATAGTCTTATTATTGCCATTTGATGACAATTGCTCATATACTGTAAGCCTAAATAAGTATATTTATTATTTTGAACAAAGGTTAAATGTTATTTCACAAGTTTCAAAAAGTGCCCCCAATTTTTTTATAAATGCCCCTGGATTTCAGTCAGTGGGGGCAAACATTGCCCCCTAAAAAATATGTAAATTTCCTACCCTGGTGGCAGCACTCACACACAAAACAAACCCGTGCACACGTGTCATGTGACCTGACTCAATTGGTTCTGTAACCATTGTAGCATCCCTCTCTTTTCTATGGACTTGACACTTTAATTTACTATTAAGTAACTGTGCAGGACATGGGGTGAGCAAACACACTCACACTTTTACAATGTTCACTGCTTAAATTGTGGGAAATACAATGTGCTCATAAATGCAAACCCACCTGACGTAACAGACAACGTGCTGTCTGACACGCCCACCACGGAAGAACAACGCTCTACTCTGGTGAGGCTCGTGTGTTATGCGAGGCACGCTACGCAAAACTAGCTTAGCAGGAAACCAACAGCAGCACACGCGCTACAAACTCTCCCTACAGCGTGTAGCTGTTCCCTACTGATTCAAACAGGGCTAAAGGTATATTTATAGCTGCGGATATGAGACCCTACTCTGGAGCGGGAAACCAGGCTGTACGAACATGCTTAATGTTATTGAGCCCCGTGACACTACTCCTTCACGAGCCCATTTCTCCAGACCATAATTTCTGCTTTGTTAAGGAAAACTAAAGCCCAAACAGAGAATCAAACGTCCGAAGCTCCCGGGAGATGAAGAGCCATGTTCTTCAGACACAAAGCTACCTGACTGTAACGACACATGATCTCACTACTGAATGGGAGGAGCCATGTTCTTCAGACACGCCCCCTTGAGAGTCTCACCAGCGAGCATTTGGCATGTCTGCTTTTTTGCTGTATTGATAATGTACCGAACCGTGGCATCACTGTGTCGTATTGAGCCGAACTGAGAATTTTTGTGAACCCCTAATATATATAAAAACATTTATACACAATGTTTCACAGGAACATTCTGTCCTGCAATTGTTTCCCCGTTTATAATTCATTCACCATTCTATTGTTTTTCTTGATATTGTGTCAGTATGACACAGATCCACTTGGTGGTTGAGACATCTTGAACCAAAACACACAGTGTGACTCATGATACTGACTCAACAGTCATGCTGAAATATTAAAAGGACAGGTTCATCATAATTTTTCAAGTCTGTCCTGGGCGTCCATATGAACATTGAAAGAGTTTTTTCCTGCTACAATTATTTCAGAAGAGATATCTCTATGTGTTTTTAATGGAGGATCCACAATATATTGTACATTTTATCTGAAGGCGTCTGAGCTCTTTCAAAGTTACAATCTGTTTAACTCTACAATCCTGACTGACAGGATTGTAGAGGCTGATACAGATATTTATATTCAAGAGTTAAAGACAATCTAATAATGATATATCAAACCAATAACCCAAATGTTAAGACTTCCTTCATTTTTTTTCTACTACAGGTGTGACTAAGAAGTGTAAAAAAAGACTTGACACTTCACACTGGTGATAAACTAGAGAATGGTGAAACGGTTTCTAAAACAGTTCTATTCTTGACATTTATCAGCTGACATATGGGTCATTGACAAATAAGCCTTCTAAAAAGGTAATTTTAAAAATTATCTTCAAAATGGATGTAACACATATTTTTGTGTCTGGAAAAATGTGGTGAAACAAGTTAAGTTGTGAACCAACTTTTCATAGTATTTTAAATCGTTTTTAACAGTATTTTTTAACTTCACAGGCTAAAAAATGTCAGGTGGCGCAACCACATATTTATAAAAAAATATATATATTCCTAATATTTATTCAAACTGAAATTTCTGACAAGTATCCCTTAGAGTGTCTACTGTGTCCAACACATCGTATTTTGTGGTTGTGTTTTATATACAGTTGTGTGAAAAAGTGTTTGCCCCCTTCCTGATTTCTTATGTTTTTGCATGTTTGTCACACTTAAATGTTTCAGATCATCAAACAAAT